GCTCCTCTCCTCAGACCAACATGAAGAAAACTTTTATTGATTCCAGACATGAGTTTTCCCCTTTATTTTTGTCCCTCTCATCTCAACACCCACTTTATCCTCTGTCATCCTTTCCTCCTCAGCCTTTCTGCGCCCCTGAGAGATGAAATAAGATCACTAATCCTTGATGATTACTCTCAAGGGGCAAAGCAAAAGCACAGATTTACAGCTATTTGTTTTTGGTGCTGTTTATTTGTCTGGGTGTCATTTTTTTTTCACTGAGAAAATCTTTTAATGTGGTGTAGGATGTCGCAGTCGAGAGTCTGAATGACATTGAATTACAGGACAGCATTTGGGGATGGTTATGATGTGAACGCACTAAAGATCATCAAATGCCTTTGTTGTTCTTTTGAACATTGAACATACAGAGAACATAGAACAAATAGAAGGAGAAAAGGTTAAGAAGTTTGTGGTTTCCCATCACGTTTAAAAAAATTATCACAATAGTGTCAGCTGCAGTTGATGAAGTCCCAAATATTAATGCAGTTATTCTCCGGTTGATGACTTCTCTGCTGCATTAAATCCTCTTTGCTGCTGGTTTATTTTTGAACATTATATATATATATGATTATTTCAGAAGTGAGTGGTTACTCTTACAGGTGTTCACAAAGGAAATGTGCCTCCATTGCCACCTAGTGGTAAATGTCTTCCATTGTTGAACCAAAATCAACACTATAGATTTTCCACATTTGACTGTACAAAGAGCAGCGAATGAAAAGGGAGAAAAGCACCTTCTTCAAAGTGTCCGTCCAAATGGCTTAAACAGGTGGTGCAGAGTGAAATTAAATTTTAGAAGGCCTTGGTGTAATTTGTGTGAGTAAGAAAATTGTCTTTTGGTGTGTATATTGTTTCATACAAAGTATTAATGCATTCCGCGTGTGTGTTGCACAAGTCTGAATGCTGTATTTTAATTGCTGTCCTTGTTGTACTGTATATGTTGTCAGGAGTGTGAACACTTTCTCACCACTCTCACTCTTTGATTGGTATGTGCTCCTCTGCATTAGCTGCAGCAGCACCTGTCTTTTTGATAATCCAGGCACATCAAAGTACAACTGCTTGCATAATTGTGTTGGCACGTTTGTTTGGCCAGTAACCCAATCTGAAGCTTGCTGCCGCGGTGCTTGCAAAGTGTTACCACAGTCTCCTCAGAGAAGAAGGAGTAAGAGTTTTAAAGCTTAACAACAACTGCAGGTTCACAGAGTGGACGCTGCAGAGGCCGCAGCGGCTAATGAAAAAACAACAGAGTGGTAAAGCGGCTGTGGAGGGGTCACCTCGGACAGTGGCAGCAGAGCCAGTTGTCACAGTCTTAATCCTGCCTGTCCAATGACCTCACCACTGCTTCTCTGTGGCTGCTGTGTGCCGGCGCTGTGCAGGACTTTCCCCATTCCAGTTCCACTCTAAGGTTATCTGGCAGTGCATGATAACACTGAGTGAAGTATGGTTCACGTGAGGGAAAATTCTTTATATGTGTATACTAGTCGCTTAAGTCAGATGTTGTTGTTGTTGTCACTCTACAGTTATCATTATATAGATTAAAACTGCATGTATTCCTATTCAATGCATTTTTGTACAGTCATAAATTACAACTGCAGCCGTCTGTTTTCAAAGTTGTCGTCAACAACTGATCAGAGGACGAAACCGCTCAAACACCTGGAAATGCAATAATAACAAACATATAGGTCCTTATGGCTCCTGTGGCTCCTTTAGGGAGCGGGCAGACCACTGTCCATAAATGTTAGTAAATGTCCTTAGATTTTCCAGATCATCACTGTCCTTAGACCTTCCTACATCGACAAGGAACCACTCAAAATGTAAGGCACTTTACTTTATCTGTTCCAGTTCCAAGCTCTTTGTTTTATCAAGCAGTTTAATGTTACCAAATACAAACAAATCCCTGTGTGTTATAAGAATCTCCTGCACAACTGGATTCAGATTGGATCCAGTCACAACATTGTCAACCTCACCATAATTAAAGCTAATGTTGTTTCTCCTACAGAACGAGTATTGGAAAGGCTGTAAACAAATACTGCCTTTATCCTATGATCAAATATTTAATATTTTTCATACCTTGTGCAGAAGCCTTGTGAGTAACTATTTGATGCTTTAGGCTGAAAGCAGGTTAGTTTGAGTGACTGTCCTCTCTTTCTAAGATACTACGTGTAACATCCAGATTCTGGAGGCCAAAAAATACATGCATGTGAAAACTGGTGATACTGGTTGGATTATATTTCATAGTTCAGTTGTTTGTGGTTTGACAGTTAGGTAACCCATGCAGCTTTAATATAATCAGGGAATTAAACTGCTAAAATGCAATACGTCATATTTGCAGACTTCAATTGTGTGATTGTTATTAATATTTTTTATATTAGCATACAAAAGCATACATTTAACATAGATTTATATATACACCTACATATAAGCAAACAGACAAACACATGCTGAGTAGGGTAGAGGGGACGGGTAGGAGGGCAATCAGCAGTCATTTCAGATTAGGTAATATACAGTATGTTAATAATTAAAATACCTATAATAATAAGCAAACAAACTGTGCTATTGTTTGTGTGTAAAATGTGTTTTGTTGATGAGCTGAGGCGACAGAGCAATTTAAATCCAAAATAAACATCCCACAAGGCACCTATACAACCAGTGCTGTGATATGGGCTTAAGTCAATCCATCCTCGACAAGTCATTACCAAGTGTTTAGCATAAATATTTTGAGTAAACACGATAAATCCACTGCTGCCCAACATTGCACCTACTATACGTATCGGTCAATCTCCACATTACCAGGCGCAAACACAGATGTACACATACAGTCCAAGATGGGCACACATGGATGGACTATAGTGTTGGTGAGAGGGAGCCACGAAAAAATAAAGGGACACTTGCTTGTTGGCACCTCCCCCAATCACACACGCCGCCTCCACTCCTTCATCCCAGCTGTCACAACTGCAAAAACTGCTCCACAAATACGCGGACGCACACACTTGCGTTCGCACTCACCCACACGCAGCTCACACCTTTCCCGGCGCACCACACAAGCCTCCAGTTGGTGCCCGCATGCCCACTCCCGGCTGTGTGTGTGTGTGTGTGTGTGTGTGTGTGTGTGTGTGTGTATGTGTGTGTGTGTCATTATGTCTGAGGTTGTATAAAGCTGGGGTCCACCGCTGGCCTTGGAGTTGTCATGTTTTGTCTTGGTCTTTTTTTGGAGAAGAAGGGTGATCATGAGAAGTTCACCAAAAAGGACTGAGTATACAGGCAGATTTAATATGCTAGAGGTCCTATATATTCATTTTTACTCACCAATTTATAATGTAGACTCATTAAATGCTGATTTTTTCCCCAGTTTCACCTGTTCTTAAACATCAGCTGATAAATATATTCTGTGGCCTTTCATTTTGTTTTGAGTGCTTCCTTTGCTCCCGTTGCACACAGTACTTTGCAACAGTGAAATGTCCCCTCTGTGGTACATATAAAGGTTTTCTCATTGTAATAGTTATTGTGATAGAGCCATTTTCAACACTTCAACATTTGGACCAGCATTGATCTGTGTATCTGTCCCCGGTGCCAAAATCGGGACACAGCTGCTTATTATATATTGTTTATGTTCCTATTGGCGCTGCTGCCATGTGTCAGCGTCAAGTTAAAAAGTGCTTTGTCAGAGAATCCTTCCCGTTTGACAGAGCCATGTGTGGGATCATAAATCTGGCACCAGCCCAAGAGAATTTAATTTCAGGAACCACCCAGGATATGTGTGAATTTATGACTCTGACAGCTAAGATTATAAAAGGTTCGAATGAATTAAAAACAAAATATAAAGACAAAAAAACATGAGTTGTTAAGACGGTTACCAGGGGATAGTTAGTTAGACAATAAAAAAAATCTATAATCTGGTGTATGGAATCACACTTGTCTAAAACACGGTTAAATACAATTATAAAATTGAGAAGAATATTTAAAAATTGAAGTAAACTTCTGTCTACTCCTGTTATAGAGAAAACTTGTCTGTAATCTGTGAGCTGAAAAACTATTCCATGTCTGTGTATGTGTTTCTGGACAATTATTTACATATTTGCGTGTGACCCATTAAAGCAATATGAGTAGAAATGGTTGCAACCCCAAAATCTACACCCTTTAGACATTCTTTTTGAGAATTTACTTTCACTAATAATATCAATGGCTTGATTCACATAATTTACTGATGATGGCCATACTATTTCTAAGTTGTTAGTCACCCTGATCACAAAAAAATATGTACTTTTGTTTTAGCATTTTCTCGACTTTGGCAAGGTGAGTTTATTTGAATAGCACAATCATATACAGGGCAACTCAAAGTGCTATGCAAAACAAGAGCGTAAGTATCAAAATCATACAGGTAATAATAATAACAACACGACAAACATTTAAAACAAATTATTTATTAGAGGCAGCAGTGGCTCAGTTGGTAGGGCATAGGCCTTTGAGCCAAAATGTGTGTCCTTGGGCAAGATCCTTAACCCCACTTTCCCTGAAGCCCCCGCTGAAAGATCAAGGCTGTGTCGGGCACAACAGCCATCCTCCTGTGGACTCACCACCTGCAGGAGGATCAGGGAGGGGCTGGTGCTATGTGTACTGGGTGCAGCTCTGACTGACAACTCCCTGACCCAGAAATGGATTAAGGAGAATAAAATGGATGGATGAATGGATTATTATTATAGAATAACAGATTTTTCATTTCAGTTGTATGCACAGTGCACAGCTAAATGCACTTAATGCAGTCATACAAAATATTTTAAGCACCTGGGAGTATGGTTCTCATTATGTAAATAGATATTCTTCTCGTCAAATGAATTAGACCTGGGTATCTCCAGAATCCGTCCCACAGCCCTGCATGTAGCTGATTTGTTGTATCTAAAGTAGACAAACAGCTCATGCCTCCTCTCTGGACGTTTCCCTGTCACCATTACGCATTGTCCCTCATTTCATTTGCCCGTGGACCCAATAAGTGCCAGGCGGTCCCACTGCACAGAGTCCTGCTCTTGCCAAGTCTTGACAAACAGGGTGAAGCTGGCAGGATGCCCCACACCCCCCACACCCTCCTCGCCCCCCTCGCCCCGCAGGCAGCTGAGGCGCAGAGCTGCCAACACTGCAACAGTTGCTGTGAGCGATGGCTGCGCTGCTGCTGCTGTCTCCTGCCCGCGCTCGGGGCACCTGACCTGGGTAAACTGTCGAATGCCTGGTCCATGGGCGCGGCCACAAGTGTGCGACCCTTAGTGCTTCACAGTGACCTTTCTGTCGTTCGTTATGATTGCAACACTATCACAGGCACACTTCTGACCAACTCATCTTACATCGAATCTGCTCCATTACATTATCCACAAGAGCATTTTGAAATATTTACACTTGGTCAGATTTCAAGACAGTGTTTTTGCAAAGGATAAAGTACTGTGTCAAGTAAAATCACACCTCATTAAAAATCCCTTAGATGTTATTATTTTGTATATGTTGGAAGCACTGCGCACAAAATGAATCCAAATAATATGAACATATTTTTCAAGTAATTAAAAGCTGAGGCACCTAACTTATATTATCATACAAAATACATGTTGTTTGACCAAAGAGAAAGAGTCTTGTAAAATATATATTTATGAATGAATCAAACCACAACATGTCGTCTTCATAATAAAAGAAAACATCTTGTTTTGTGCACATCTGTCAGAAAGAACCCAGTCACTCATTGATGCTTCGGGCGGATTGGCTGAGTGAGGGTGGGCCTCTCTTTTTCACTTTTCTGTCTGAAAGATCAGTAACACTTAACAATAACTCGACATTATCATTGAACTCATCATAGTCATGAGGAAAACCAACGAGAAGGGATCTTCATGGACTACAATGACTGAGTGAAATAACCATAAAGCTGTTTCGACTTTGCATGTACAGTTCTCCTATGGACAACAGCCCTGCTGCTGCTGCTGCTGCTGCTGCTGCTGCTGCTGCTGATTATGAAAATGATGATAATGATGATGATGATGCTGCTTCTGACCCTGTTCCCTCCAAAACCACCAGCTGCTGAGGAGGACAGCTGCTCTGTGGCAAAACGAATCTCAGCTGCCGAGGTGTCGTCCAAACTGATGGTGAGTTGAGAGTGGCCCTGGCCCATGTCCTGCTGCTGCTCTCAGCAGAGAAGGAGAAATGCTGACTGACACATTTTACAGCAGAGGCCACAGTTGTCCAAGTGTTTACAACTGGATCCAAGTACAAGTAAACCATAGTAGTGGGTACAGTTAAATAAACATTTATTATATTGTTTCTGAATGAAATAGCTAAAGGGTCAACAATGCTTTTTTGGTAAAACTGTGATAGTGATAGAATCTTCATAGATTCTGTGGTAATAAGGGGAAATATTTTTCCCCATGAAAATGCAACCACAATGCCCCCAGGAGTTAGTGGTGGGTTTTTTTGTATATCTATAAAACATTAGAATGTATTTACTATAAATTTGTTATCGTAGAGGTGTAAAAAACCCTTGTGTCTAACATACACAAATGAATAAAGATAGAGTAAAAATGAAATCTCACATAAAAGCAGGTTTCTGGGACAGCTCATGTTTGTGTTGCTCTTTTCTGCTGTAGAACTTTGAGCAGGACTAAAGACAAACTTACACATGTTAAATATGCATGTCTTGTGTTAGTCATGGACCAGTGCAGAGGTGGAGTTCAGTTGTGATGGGAAAATGCGGTCTGGGTTTGGAACTTCAAACACTGTAATAAAGTTGGGCCGTTTGGCTTTGTAACACAAAAGCACAAGTATTATTCACAATATACATACAATATCACAGAACAAAAAAATAAAACATAACTGTCTTCTGTGACCGCAAAGGATTTGACTGTAATCGGAAAATGCTGCTGTTCTTTGTCCAAAATCAACCCAATATGTGGACCATGGTGCACTGAGCGATCAGGAATATTATTTACAAACATGAGAGTTTCATTAGATTTACGAAATAATAGACATAATTTATCAAAATGACCCTCATTTGTGGTGGTAGAAAATAGTATTTATCATACCACATGTGTGAGGGAATAAAGGGAATTGTTTCTAAATGATATTAAATATGTGGAGTACCTGAACTTGAGACGAAGATAACTAACTTTGCCAGGTATTTGTAAGTAGTGTATTTGTACGCGACTGTGCGTAATTAAGCAACAAGTACAATGTATTGTTAGAATAGTGATGTGAAGCTGCCACCACACTATACGTGCACGTCTGTCTCCCTCTTGTGGTTTAACTGTGTAGTCACACTTCAAACATATTCTACAGGTGGTCGTATTGGATATGTTATGAGAAGAGTTTCTGCTTACACATCCTGCTATATGGCACCATTTCATAACTTAGGTAGGTATCCTTAGATCCGTGACAACAACGATGCAGAATACATACATGAATGTATTTATTAACCCGCCGAGCCATCCTCAGGAGCCATGATTGAGTCTCCGATTAGATGTAATTGGCTTCGTGTGTTGAATACAGCACTTTATTGATCCCGGGTTCATGTGTAGTGGCAAAGAGCGCACGTGGGTCAGCTACACTTTTCAGCACCATGGACAGCGTCGTGCGCGTGCATTTTGGCCAACGCCTTTACCGTCACAAATAAAGATAAATAGTGCGTGGGTTGTGTGTGTTTCTTTGAAGGTAAACGTGTGCTGACAGATATGAACGCGGTGCAGCGCCCCTGTGTCCTGTAGGAAATGGTAAAAGCCAAATGCTGATTGCGTGAGTACAGTGGCGACGTGCGCTCTGTGTGAGGAGCGCGGAGAAAGAACAGGAGCAGGTTTAGTACCTCTATGCACTTTCTGTGTGTGGTCATGACTGACTCTGAGACTGACTGAATATTGTGCTGAGCTGCTCTGCTGGTTTGTGTTTTGCGCGGGTGAACAGTTGCTTTACAAGAAAAAAAAATATTTAAAAGAATTATAGGTAAGGATTTATCGGTCTAACCTGTGCGATGTCTCGTAAGAAAACCGCCAAAGGCAAAGCGAACAGCTCGTCCACTGGAAGCCCCAGCGGGAAAAGCTCCGGGAAAAAGGGTTGCCCAGGAATTGCGCCACTTAACGGGGTGGTCCACCCCAGTAGACCCCCCATCAGCAACAGCAGCGAGTTTTACGACATTGCTTTTAAGGTAAATCTCTTATTTAGTGATTGTGTTTTTATCTTTATTTTCGTCTTTCTTTAATGTAGATGTAGTTCAAATAACAAAATATTAAATAATAGAGATTAATCTCTCTCCTCACTGTTTGAAGTAATTGATTGTATTTATTGTTGCTTTCACTTTACAACCAGCTTTATTTACAGCAGTAAGCACCTGACTGCAGCTGTGTCAATACAGCATCAAAAGCATCATTGTCCTTAGGTTTTCATCATCTTTGCAGCAACCTGAATGTGGACTGAGACCTTCACACCAACATATAGTCTATAGCAATATCAATCATTTCAGATCCAAGTGACTGTTATGAAAAGGTCTATTGAGTTTACTTATGTTGCATTATTATTTTGAATATGTCATTACATTTATTGTTATTATTATTATTATAAATATATACATAATGTTGTTCCACTATCATCTCCTAAATACTCACATAAAATGTTCAATATCATCAGGAAAGACATGGCTTTACAAAACAAGAATGATTTAATGTATTGTCTTATGAATAAAACTCTGTATCCTTGGTGCAGGTGATGCTGGTGGGAGACTCTGGTGTGGGGAAGACTTGTTTCCTTGTGCGGTTTAAAGACGGAGCGTTTCTGGCCGGGAGCTTCATTTCCACTGTAGGAATTGACTTCAGAGTAAGTTTAAAAATCAATATCACAAAAACAACACTTTCTCTCGGTCATCGTCTAGACACACGGTCATGTTGTCTGAAATTAGAGTGGCTTGTAGCCCTTGGGCATGGGTTGTTTTTTCTACACAAGCTATATGGACAAATGGGATATCGACTTCTTGAATGAGCTCGGCATGTTTTTTTTTCTTCTTAGTTATGAGTGGTGCCCTCATATTTAAATTTCCCAGTTCCCCTGAAAATAACCTAATTGAAACCATCCATTTGCCCTACCATTTTTAAGGTAGGCACTTCACATCACTCTTTCTGGCATATTGTGATAAACCTCATAAAACTGGTCTGCTTTCTCAGCTTATTTTGCCATATTTGTGTTCATTTCGTATGAAGCTACTGTACTGTACGTCACTTGAATAATTCTTCTTTGAGATATTTTTTGAGGCAATAGAGAACAAGAAACAGACAGGGGAGACATCATTATTTCTTGTTCTCTTCATCTTGTTTTGCCGTAGAAAATAGTTTCTGTGAGCGAACCGAGGCCGTGCAAACATCATGCTGAGCTAATACATTTGCGTCTTAGTTGAATATTTCTACATTTGAGAAAGAAATCCACAAATACATTCATATAACAATGGGAAAAGTGAGGTTATTTTAAAACATGACAATTCAGGTTGACTTTTTTGAGAAAGTTTCCGCGCGCAAGGATCTTACAGTGTTTGTTAAATTCTTGTTATACAGGCCGATACTGGTTAAAAGTATGGCACCTGTTGCATGTACGGAGGTGAAATTGTGTAAGTACTGTACCCTGTTATTTTGGTAGTGACTATCAAACACATGGGAGGATGTCACACTCTGCTCTCAGACGTGGAAGCTGTTAATGAAGCAATGGCACAGAGAAGCAGCGTCAATTACTTCATTCTGTCACTACATTGTCCAAAACAATATCCAGAATCATAATAAAATGGATCTGAGACATCTGAAGTTTTCTATAAATATTACCCTCTATAGCCATGGCAGTGAATGTGACTTTTATCCACACAAAACCACACTTTATCAGCGTTTTTTTCAACCATATCACATTTGTATTGCTGTAAAATGCCACAGCCACTTAAAGCATTATCGAATTACTCCTATATGACGGATAAGTGTATAAAATCATTGGAGTTGCAGATGATTTTATGGTGACTTTCAACTGGTTCAGTTCAAAATCTATGGCATAATATATTTTCCCATGTCTGCTCTTGTGATAATTAATGAAAACTAACGCCGCCCCCTGCTGCCTGAATGTCACAGGGACCCAGAAGCGAGCCCTGAGGAGCCCCATCAATATTTAAACAGGCTGTGAAAATGGCAGCCAACACCATGTGCCACATTATATAGAAAATAGCAAACTAATATTCACTGCTGTATTTTAGCGTGTGATTATTGAGTGCCTTCGCTGAGTCAACACCCTTTTTTTCTGGCAAATCCCTCATATCCAGTCCTAATGCAAATGTTGCCTGACCCTCTTTTGGACTCAATATACATATAGAGGTTTGCAGTGGATTCCATCTTCCCACTGTTGATTTGAAAGCAGATGAGTGATGGTTAAATTGAGCAACTCGAACGCTGCTGAATCACTGTGTGCAGTGAGCTTTGTCTGCTGCAGGTTGATTTATAGAAGTGGTTTTGTCGACAAAGAACATCCTAATTAGGGGCTATCCATGGTTTGGGTATGAGATATCCGAATGAGAACAAGTGGAGTGATGAATATTACTTACTCAGCTGTTTGTGTGTGTCCAAAGAGAGTTGAAGTTAGAGGGGTTTGTGTTAAAAGGACGGCATAAATCTGAGTGATATGTCTTATTAATAACAGCACTAAGGAATTGCATGTAAAGAAGTAAACAGGACTCAGAGTTTTTCATGTAGACACTAGACAGACAGACTTTTAATAGGCTCTGATGAAGAATTGAGTAGAATTGTTTAATCACTGTATACAAATCATGAAGTACATTGAGTACAAGGGAAATCAAAGAATACAACTTATTATAAAAGAAAGTCCCTCTCATAGGTCATCTGTCCTCACCCCCCCCCTGAATAGTTCACACCGAGAGAACTTTTGTGCTAAACATCAGGTCGTATTAACTAAACAACAAAGTGACGCAGATTAGATTTTAGGATGACCATGGAAATATTACTTTGATTTGAAGTTTATACAGTATAGCAGCGCCTTGACTTGAGAAGGGTAACCTGGAGGATAAGGCAGAGATCTAAACATGATTTCAGTTCGATCAACAGACTTTGGTTTTAATTATTTGTAGCGGTTTCATTGTGGGCAGCAGCAGGAGCAGTGGAAACTAAATGGTGTGAGTGTCATTATACAGTAATATTATACACATTTTATCTTTTTTTTTAATATGCATATTCCATTTGTTGGTCTTTTTAAAACATGGCAAGGCAAGTTTAATTGTATAGCACAAGGCAACTAAAAAGCAAACAAAACAAAATAGAGACAGTCACACAAGGTATTCAAATCATAGACCATACATTAAAAAGAGTAATGTTAAAATCCCTCAGTTGTGTGCACAGCTAAACAGAACTGTTTTTAACCTGGATATGAATGTTGTCAGAGAAGAAGCCTGTCTCACATGTTCAGGAAGACTGCTCCAGATTTTAGCTGCATGATCTAAAAGGCTGCCTCCCGATGTTCACGATTTTTTACATTCATTTCAAACAAGGAAATAATTTACCTACTTTTTCACAATAGTTGTAAACAATGTTTTACTCAACTTACATTTTAACAGCACTTTTTACAAGACACATTTTAATCATGACTTTTTGCATGAGCGTTTCTATATTTGAATCAGTCAATTAATTGTATGAACAAAATAATAGATAAAACAAATTATAGATAATGTTTTCACTAAGTCAAAGTAACATCCTTCTCCCTCACTGCCTGTCCTCCACAGTTTTGTAGTGAGGGTGAATTTCCTTTAGTCTCTCTTTGAGGTTTTGCCTTCTGTCTATGTTCACTTTTGAATCTGCTCCTGTTGGGAACAAGTGAATTGGAACATTGATTCCGCGAGCGTGCACTGCGTTGGGTGAAGAGAGGGACGAGCAGGAGCCTGGACAAACACTGACATTATGCTTTCAGATTAGTTGTCAAAAGCCATAACAGCATCAACTATAACTGTAAAATATGTAGGGATAAATTATAGCCTTGTTTGGATGGTTGAATATTTATACAAACTTCAAAGATATCTGGCAGAGAAATCCCAATTCACTCCTCCAATGTGAATATGTATGAGTGTGTTCCCCTTTGAATCAATTAGCAGAAAAGTAAAAGTGAGGAGAAAGGGTGCCAGATAAAAGTCATTTGTCATCTTTATGCAGTGAGGTGTGATTATCATAGACTAGATAAATGTTCTCATATTTTCCCCAATGAAGATGCAGTTCTTTTCATTGTTGTATTTGTGAGAACGAGTGCAGCAGCAACAAGGTGCTGAATAATGAGAGACGAGCCTGGGGCCTGGGGGCAGCACACCCACCTGTGATTTATCTATTTCTGTCACTGCATCCAGAATGGCTCTTTATTTGCAAACACTGTAATAAGGAGGAAATTGTCCTTTCAACCGTTGATTCTCACAAAAAGCAGAAGCTAAAAAGGACGGATCTCACGTTTTTTGGCTTAATTTTGTTGCTAACATCCATATTCTCCCATTTGTTTGTCAAAATCATATTTGTTTCTGTTCTGAACTCCTACAGCTTGGCTACATTTTGCCATGTAATTACAGATTTGGTTTGTTTTGTCTTTTTTTTTGGCTCTAAGTTGCCATTAAAACATGTGCAATTGTTAAAATCCTGGGATAGTCATTACCAAGCGAAGCAGAGGACTTGGTGGTATTGAAGGATGGGTCAAATGCAAGACGAAGGACAAAAATCCCTATTCTCCCCTGTACTCCCCATCAGAAATAACTTAACTTTTAGTGGATTGATGTGTTTAAAGCATGAATTAAGGGGTAGGAGTTAATAAAAAAAAAATCTTACTCCTGTTCTTCTTTTCATGGAATGTATAACTGTCGTATTTGCTGGATTATTGTGATATTTTGTTGCATTACCATGAAAAAAAGAACAAAAATAAATAAATAAATAAAAGATAAATTAAGGAATTACAGTTTTACACCACTAAAGTCGTAGTCTGTGAAGGAAAATGGTCAAATGTGTTGAGATTGACAGAGAACTGACGAAACCACGTTTGGGAGATTTCAAACTTTGACACTTTTTATTTTTTTAAACACTATCCTTTCATGAAATAGTCATTGTATATTATTTAATTTTATGAATATTACATTCTCTGTCCATAAGGAGTTTTGGTTCTGTTTATTACAGATGAAACATTATACCAATAACAACTGTCATTTTACAAATGTTTTCCCACATTAGTCCCACATTAGTAAGATTGTTATAAAACCTCACATTTACAGATGGTGCTTTGTGAAAGGGGTTGTCCCACATACTAAACCGACACCATAAATGAAGAGAATAACATTTGCACTGCAGACTGCTCAAATCTGTCAAATCATTGTCTCTGTAACAGTTTTTTTTTGTTTTTTTTTTTTCCAGAATAAAGTCATGAATATTGATGGAGTCAAAGTCAAGCTTCAGGTAAATCTTTAATCAAACACAGAGGTGGAAAAAGTGAAGAATTGAAGTCATACATTACTTGAGTAAAAGTAAATAACTCTTCAATAGCATTTTTGTACAGTCCTATCACTAAATCATCACAGTAGTTGTTTAGGAAATGTTCAATTTGTCAACAACAGAAGCAAACAATGAGAAGACAGTAAATGTATCAGTAAAACATGGGTCCACAGGGTCGCAGCAGGATGACCAATGTCCTTAAACATTCATGAAAAAGCGTGTGTACTTAAGTAAAACCTTCACATTTATGTTTGCTTAATGATCGACGAACTTGTATCTACTTGAGACTTTTAGCGTTACCTGTGAAACTCTTGGACAAATGTTATGTGTTTCATACCAGCACACGATAGGCCAAACAATTATTCACTAATATTGGTAAAGAGCCAAAAGTGTATTTAAAAGAAAAGTAAAAAATACTTAGTAGCACTTAGCAGAGTAAATGTGACATGTGTTTGATGGCCTTTCTGTTGCAGATCTGGGACACCGCCGGACAGGAGCGCTTCCGTAGTGTCACTCATGCTTATTACCGCGACGCTCACGGTGAGGAACGAGAAACACGCCGTATATTGATCTGAGGGAACTCTACAATACACTCTGTTGTGTGTGCAGCTGTGTGTGGTGTAGCCTGTAGAGTAGAGTAGGCATAGTGGGGGGTGTCAAAGTCATTTATAATGGGGGCCGAATTTAGAAAAATATAGTCGGTTTGGGGGACACTGAGTTTAGCCAACTTTTTTTGGCTTTACTTTTATACCAAGGAATCCATTGTTTTCAGGAAAGTCTGTTTAAAGTCTTATTTTTGTTCTTCTACTTTTCCATTTAAGTTATGGCAGTTATTTTGTATGTTCGTATTGTGTTTCTGAATAAAATGAGTTCCGTTTTGTTTGGGCTGAACCAAAACTGGACAAAGAGTGAAGAGATTACTTTTCACAGAATCAGAATCAGAAACCTTTTATTGCCGTGTGCGCAATAAAAAGTCACAAACTAGGAAATTTAAGTTAAAGCAGAATAAAATCAATTCACATGTTGGGTAGTGTAATTCTAAATAACTTATAAAACACAGTCATTACACATTCTGTAATCTAAATCAGCATGTTTCAGTCTATGTAACGTTTAAAAATGGGTAATAAACAACTATTTCAATTATCAAATTAGTTCGAATAATTCATCAACTTCCATCCATCCATCCTTTTACTTCCCCTTAATCCATTTCTGGGTCGGGGCTGCACCCAATTCACATGGCACCAATTCATGAACTTGTTACAGAAAATCACATGTTATAGAAACATATTACAATTATAAAGTCATTCACCAGCACTGCCAATGTTGTGTTGTTGTGAGGCCTGGAGGACTGAATCAAAACACATTCAGAAAGTTATTTTCAGCTCGTCTCCCTCCCTCCTTCTTATTCAAGCTTTCATCTCTTCCAGCGCTGTGCTAATTTCTGCCTTTCATTTCCGCTGCGGATTGTTCCAGTGCGTCGTCTCTGCCTTTTGTTTTGTCCCACTTTCTAATCAGACTCAAAAGTAAAAGCGGAGGCAGACCTTTGTAGATGTATTTGTATGATTTCAACTCAAAGCCTCATTGATTGGCAAAAGTCACTGTGCTTTGACGCTTTCAATGTTGTCATTTGAAGCTTAAAATAAATGTCCGAGATGGACCACAACAAAAGTCCTGCGTCAGAACTCTTGATGTTCCAGGGAATACAGAAATAACCTGGAAGACTGTATCGTTCTGCTTTGTCGAGTAATCATTGTACCGATCTATCCCTGCTCAAACAAACACCATTCTTTAATATGTTGGTTATTCAAATTGAAATGAAATGACTTTTATTATTATTTATTGACCAATGTTTTTAACTATTTTGTTTGTCTTATAGCTTTGCTCTTGTTGTACGATGTCACCAACCGAGCTTCCTTCGACAACATACAAGTAAGACCACTTTGAGTTTGTCTTTATGTGAGTTTCAGACAAACAAGCACATGGTATGGAGGAGGAAAGGTCTTCAGTGACATTTGAGTCAGTTGAAAGTGATCTAAAAGTGGTCTCAGAAACAAACAAGATTTAAATATGAAAAGTTGACACACTGTGAAAAATATACAAAAGTCCATTTAAAAACAGCAGTGATGATCAGTCATTGGCACGGCTAAAAATAACTGTTTTCAGCATGGACTTAAATATAGCTCTTGTAGCGTCCTGTCTCTCCAAACGGCAACGCAAATGATGGTCTAATCCTGTTCTCGGATTGCTTGAAAATCCTACATCCTAAATATATTTTAATTATTTATTTGAGTTATTTATTTCTTCTCACTCCCTTTCGAACTTTCTTGGTGTCATTTTTTTTTCTTGTTTTTTGTGATTTTGTATTGCTTCTCTTTTATTTTTTATTGTTTTGTTATTTGTTTTCAAATGAGCATAAAAGTACAGGGTGTACAAAGAAGTTTTAATTTATTTTTTATTTTTTTGAAATGTATTATGAACTGCCATGACACTGGATTTGACAACAAAGTTTAAAATAAAAAAAGATTGATTGATTGATTGACTTTAAACGTGTACAGAAAAGTTCAAATATATTCAGTCTGACTTATTATTATTGACACATACAAAAGATGTAGATATAATTTAAAATAAAATAAAAGCAGGAGTGATAAAATCTATTGTTAGTCGTGTGCTATTGTGCTATTGTGCTTTGCTAGAATTGTAATTTATTGTCTACCCGTCATTCTAATGTTGCGTCTCCTGCGTTGATTTACAACATTCTCCGCATTCAAACAAACACAAACTGTGAGTTAGTGACGGCTCCGGCAGGTCTTCACTCACCGGGATGATCGGACGCACACAGCAGCAGCAGGTTTTCACTTCTGTGTCAGGTTGTGTCTTGTGTATGGGGCTGGATTTCGTTTTCAGTCCAAAGCAAGGCGCGTATCAAAGTAAAGCAAATATTTTTTCACAAATTTCTATAATAAGAGACACTAGTGGGGAAAACATGTCAAGTTCAACCTGAAAACTTGTAATCATCCTGCATCAAAAATGGCATATATTTCTACAACCTGAATGCTGTTTGGTGTTTTTTTATTCACTATAAGGAAATGGAAGGGCACATGAATAGGTTTCTTCTCGCTGCAGTTGCCGAGATTTAAGTAGAAATAGTAATCACTTCTCAAAAACCCACCTGTTTCAGCTTTCCTTTTCCCTAATTTTGTTCTTCAATATTTTTTTCATGAGTTTTGCTTAGCGTCTTTGAGTGTCCAAAAAAGCGTTATATAAGTTTGATGTATTGATATTATTATTATCATTATTAGTTTGGTTTTAAAAGTGGAATAAAAATAGACATATATTGTAACATACAGTCAATGTGTAAAACAATATTATCATCTGTATTTAGTACCCGACTAATAGTAAATATTGAGTCAAATGGCAGATATGAGCAGTTTAAAGAGGGTAAACCTAAAATTAAGAACTTGTAAACTTCAAAATGTGATACTTGGTGGATTTTTGATAGATGAATGGTCCATGAAGAACACGATTATTTAAATTTATGTTGTATTTTTACTTTGTTTTGGACCCGGTGCACTCCCTCATCTCTTTCTATCAACATCATCTCCTCAAACTTACGTCGGCCAGGGGACTATTTTGTTTTTCTTCTCTGCCGGAGGTTTGATGAAGTTCAAATAATCTTGTGCAGGTTTAAAATGTGGTGCTCTCTTCAGTATTTGGCTCGGTTCTTTTTGTTCTTCTGCATTTGGTGAAAGGAATGAGAGCGAGCTGCAGATGCTGCTGGCAGAAGAAGCTGCACTTACTCATGGACTGAACACTAATGGTGATGAATGCTGCTCCGGAGCACACCCAGAGATACAGGGGCCAGATCGCATTGTTCATTCCCCTTCACTTTCTCACACTGGGCTGCAAATATGGATGTTCTATATGTATTATGTTGTATTAACTTATTTTACTTTGGCCATTCTTGGTCGTAAATAAACTGTGAATGAATGAAAGGATTTATGACACATTTATATTCTTTTTTCAAGCCTGGAAAAATAAACTGCTTTGGAGGCTTTTGGAGGTTTTTAAGTGGACACTGGCAAACTATAAAAATAGACAAAAGCCTCATGTGTGAGCTCTGCTCTGAGTCACGAACTGTAATCAAATACCATTCTGGTGCCCATGGCGCCTGGGCTGCGTCTCATATGTATTTTCTTGTCTCCTCTCCTTGATTCTGCCATATTTCAGCTGTCAATCAGCTCATGCTTCTTCATCGCTCTTCTGCTTATAGTTTCCATTACTTACTTGATAACATTCAAAATTCTTCTATGTATTATTAACTATCAAATTAAGATTGTTGTTAGAAAGTTATTTTTGCTGAAGTCAGGGCTTTGTAAAAAAAAGCGAGCTGGAAAAACTCTTTCATGCTCTCTCCTCCTCTGTGGATCAAACTTCCTCACACATTTCCTGAACAGAATAGTGGAGAGGAAACAAGAAAGCACAAAATAAGACTAGCCCTGGTAGCTCTCAGAAATGATTTCACAATAATGAATTTACCACACCCACATTTACTCCATCTACTGTATCTGCTAACCCTAACCCTGTCGACCAATCACAAGCTTTTATTCAACAAACCATTTCTCCAGTGATTCATCCTTTGCTTCAACTCCAACATAAAAAAAATACTTTTTTCCAAACTAATTATGAGTCCCAATCGACAAACATGAAGAGGTCTTATTAACTAGCAACCTACTTATTTTTACTTTGTTTTAAAAATGAGAATCAAGTGTCACATGTTTTGAATAGTGACAGTGGTGTCACCTGGTTCACCGTGAGCTCTGAGCTTAAATGTCACAGACCGGCCGCAGATGGTGATGAGTGTCAGAGCATCATTCATTCAAACAGTCGCTTTGAATCACCATTAATCATTAGCTGCTCTGATCTCATATAAACATGTGTTGTTTCATGAATTCGATATTTAATTTAAAGACATTGCTTTGTGGAAAAATCGTGAATTATCAAGAGTGTTTGTTTTGTCTCATAGTTTACAGTATAGTGTTTTTCCTCCAGTGTTTGTTGGTGTACCTTGAGATGTTGTTTGTTGTGCCTTTGGAAATGATCCAATATCACCGAATAGGTCAAAATAATGTGAAACAAAAATAATGTGATAAAATTAGAAAGACATTTTGTGCTTTGAGATGTGACAGACTTTGATGAGATGGGCTTTGCTTTGTTGATATGTTCTTTGTTTTATGTTCTATCAGTTTCAACCCTCTCCTCTCACCCCTCCTTTTTGCAGAGAACTTAAACATCTCTCTGATAACGGCTCTTACAACAGCTTAAATTCCCAGTTTTATGTATGTCTTTCATTAAATCACACCTTGTATCGTTACAAAAATGGTCATAACAAATTTTCTTTGATAACAACTCTTAAAGACCTTCTCACCTTTGCTCCTCGAGGCTTACGTTACTCACATTTTCTGTTTAAAGGACAACTCACCCTCAAATCCACTTTTTTTTGCTGATAAACGATTTAAATGAGTGTCCAATAGTGTTGTCTACATATCCTGGTCATAGTTTTGTCACTTTGGTGCAAATTAGTTCAAAGTTAAACTTTCTGCCTGAAACCGTCTGTGAGGCGCCATCTGCTGGCGACCTGTATTACTACATTTGAATTTTGAATCTGGCGCCAACACTGGCACAGAAGTTGGACCTGACGTCTGCAAGTTGGACCTGACGTCAGCAGCCCCCCGCCCAGAGCAATGTAAACGGCCCAGTCTCGTTCACGCCCCCTTCAGTCCTCCAGGCTACGCCCATTTAGAGGAAGATTTGAACAGGAAATGTGAGTGACGTAAGCTCCGAGGAGCGGGGGTGAGAACCACTTTAAATCTTCCTCCAAATGGGCGTTGCCAGGAGGACTAAAGGGGACAGGCGGGGGGGGTGAATGTTGGGCGGGTCTTGGCTGTGATTGTCCCTTGACTAAAACTACAATATTCAACAACAACGCCATTAACACTACACAATTATCAATAATACAAACAGCTATGCCAATAAAAATCTACCTAAATGCTATGACTAATCGCAAACCTGACAATCAATGAAAATACTCGCTGTTGTTGTTGGATTTGAGGGTGAGTTGTCCTTTAAATAGGGGTGGAGTGTTAGATATGGGCCCAAAAGCCGTTCTACAGAATCATAGTGCCTTTAGAAATGATCCAATATCATCTAATTGTGAAGAGAAAATGTGAGAATATTTTGAATATTTTTGCTGCTTGTGTGATTTTGATGAGAATGACTTTTCATGCAGTCTCAGTTCCAGCTGGTGGTGTGCAATGTGATTGTTTTCACGGCTTAAAAAGGTTGGGGAACACTGGTCTGGGGATAGAGTTGATACCGATGCAGGAAAAGCAGCACAGGTTTTGAGGGTTACTGTCAGATAAGGCTAAAAATGACTTTGAACTCCTCCGGAACTTTTGAGTCTTTGATCAAATGTTTGTGAGGGTCGGCTCTCGTCTCTCAGACTGCTGAAGGAAGCACCTGTGAAAGGCAGAAACGTAGAGCTGACTGGGCCTGCGTTTGTATTATAACTCTTCAAATCAAAGACTTTTCTGCTGCGTCTCGTCGTCTTAGATTCGCCGTAACATGCAGTTTGGTTTTGTTTTGTTTTGAAACTCAACTCTCGGGTTAGAATCAGGGCTCTGTAATTCCATCCTTCATTCATCCATTTTAATTGCCGTTAGAAGTATGTGGCACAATTTTAAAAAGACAAAACAATAATCAATAGTATAAAGAATAGAAAAGTAGCGCAGCATGATAGAGCGGTGCTCAATTGGAGAGGAGCCAAAAACAGTTATGTCTCTCTGAAACTACCGTCATCGTGGAAAAAGGAAATGCAGAACTGCGAAAATGATGGCTTTATTGAAATGTAACACAAAAAGTAACCAAACAGG